TCGAACGATTGCCTATTAATGATTTTCACTGCTTCGTACTTTAGTCTATGCAAAAATAGTTCAAACGTTGGAAAGCAGTTAAAAATCTCACGCACCAACGCATGAAAGCTGAATTCGAAACCTTGAAGGATGAATATCTTTCCGTGACTCCCGAGTTAACAATTTACCCGCCAAAATTTTCACAAGGCCGTAGTGGTACCTGAGAGCGCGAGAACGCTGAATTTGAATGGGCAAGGTTGAGCGTGGGCAGGGGTCAATACCCTAAAATTTCAGCCTCCTAGACTCCGTGGTTCCCGAGATATTAACTTACCCGTAAAAAACTTTCAGGGGGCCGTACGCGTTACCCGCGGGTATGGGGAAGGTGAATTTAAATTTGCGGGGTCACACATGGGTGGGGAACGTTCCCTTAAATTTTCCGCTTCCCAGCTTTTGTGGCTCTCCATTTGAAAATTGCGGACAAGTTGCTGCGGACACACACACACAAACACAGACAACCCCGTGACAATATGCGTTTTGTACTGCTGTTACACAGCACAAAACGCATAAAAAGTGGGGGAAGGGAAGGGGGGAAGGGGGGAGCTGAGGTAAAGAGTATGTAAAAGAAATAGAACAATTTCTTGGCTTACCGAGCTTGCAACTTTCAGAGCGATTGCATCTGGATGATTGTAGCCCACTCCTTCAACAGCCAGTGCTCCGTACATAAATGGTAAACAGTCATTGCGATATAAAAACTGAAAAGTGGGCATCCAATGAGGGGAAGAAACTGACTACATGCAGTACTATCACTAAGAACATCACAAAACTGTTGAGATTGTCAATGACGAAGTTCTACTGAGTGGTAGCAAAGTCAGAAAAATAACTTTTCGTAAAGAATCAAACAAAAAATTGTGCATGTAGGCAGTGAAGAGAGCAAACATAATTTCGCAACAAGCAGCCAGAAAAGGCAAACTTCGCTGAATTCAGTCGTCACAACAGCAACTAATACTACTGATATCATTGTTTTTATCGTCAATATCATTGCTATTATTATTGTCGTTATTATTTACAATAACATCACAGATACTACTACTCGTTATTATCAAAACATTATTATTATTGTTATTATTATTATCTTCATCATCATCATTATCGTCATTATTATTAATATCATTATTGTTATTAATATTATTATTGCTATTAATATCATTATTATTAGAATCACTGTTATTATTAATATTACTATTAACATCATTATTAATATTTCCGTTGCTAATGTTACTATTATTATTGTTACATCATCCGCTATGTTTAAGTGGAAATTTCAAATATTTATTTTTTTTAATTCTATATTTGAATGAATTACTTCGCTGCCAGTGAAACGAATTCCTTTGACATCGGGGGGCACTCCGGTATAATCATCCGAAAGATCACCAAAATGCTTTTCAGCGAGCTTCGATAGCTCCGAGTGATTGACATCGCCAACGGCACTTAGGACCATTCGAAACGGTTTATACGTACCATCAGTGTATTTTCGCAGATCCCTTCGTGCTAGATTCCTGAATACATTCGCCTATTATAACAGTTAATGCTAAAAGATTTCGAAATATGAATGATAATTTGCGGCCGATAGAAGGCCGAACCGTAGTCCTAAAAACAACTGCATGGTCCAAAGCAAAAAAAAAGAAAAAAATGGAGTGGTCGGAGACCAGAAATTTAAACCCAGGATGGGGTTAATTAACTCAAATGAATAATAATTTGTGGCCGTTAGAAGGCCGAACCATAGTCTTAAAAGCAAGCAATATTAAAGAAACTTTTTAGTAACTTTTTTTAAAGCAAAATCGGGCATTACACTTATAAATTCAATTGTGCTTTTCACAGTTTACGCACAACTCAGTTAATTTGCTTCAAAACTAGGTTAGTTGCGCATCTATGTTTGTGTGTATGTTTGTTTGGCCGGGAAGCAAGACTGACTTGTGTTCTCTCTTTTCCGGGATCAACACTATCGGATAGCGCACACATATACACAATGACACTTAGCCAATGGTTATTACGACCTCCCAGATCTGATCACAAGCGGATCTGGAGGGGACGGGTGGAGGGTTTTTCGCCCCCCCCCC